AACTCAAAAAAGTTATTATGGAGATTTAAGGGTAATTGCACAGACTTGGTAAACATGCATCTTCCTTGCATGTGAACTGAGGATAAAATAACTTGCCATACTCTGATTTTTTTTTTCAAAACTCACTGAAAATTTATTGGAAATTTATTTATTGAAAATTTATTAGTATCAAAATATTGCCACTGAAATATGAACGGAATAAACCAAACTATTTGCCTTCCCTTATTTAAATGCCCTCCCCATAACTCATGCCTTCTAAACAACCCTATTCTCTTCCATTCTCCACCTCAAGGTGAGCTGCTGTGCTCCCACACTCTTCTGTGACTTACCACTTCCACTGGGATTGGAGTCCTTTTTTCTCCATACCTGTCTCTGTACTCATCTCAGGCGCCTAAGCCACATTCAGCTTACTCAATATTTGTGCTCAACCTCAGCCCCACTGCCAAGTCAGGAGGGCAGGCTTACTTCAAAAAAGTAACCCAGTACACAACAAGAGACTTCCAACAGTGGCTCAACACTTGTCTGCTATAATTTCAAGACAGAAGTGAATTTACATTAATACATTTCACGCTATTGTCATTGGGAAAACAGTACTTGATTAAAAGATAATTATATTTTACCTGTCTTTCAAATACATTACAATATGTTGACATAAAATCTAAGGTTTCTGATTTTAGAGAAGACTGTGCAGCACCAGACTTAAAGGAAATTAGAACTCAATCTCATTAGAATAAAAATGAGATTTACTGGTTTGTAAAGTTCCCCCCACCCCCCAAAATAAATCTAACACTCTGTGCTGCTAAGAGATGGCACTGAAACAACAATCCTTTTACTATTTTACTATTGAATTCAGGATTTGGCATATCAACCTCTAGACTTACAAGAAAAAAGCAATACATTGCTGATTCACTGATGTCTCAATGGTGATTAACAGATTTGAAAAGCTGACAGTATCAAGGTATTGAAATAACTTGTATTGAAATAACTGTATTCATGAATACATTTTGGAAGACATTTTTGTACACAAAAAAATACATTTTTTAGAACTGTAGATGAAAATCAATGAGTTTTAACCCCTCAATAATTAATTAATTCCTTTAAAAATTTAAAATTTTTGAATTAACAATTTTTGGTCTTGGGTAAAGGTGCATGGAAAAGAATCTCCCTTTAATTCCAAATTTGTAGACAAAGAAACTAATATTGCCTAAATCCAGAGGCAAGAAATTTTACTGATATACTAACTGGAGTCAAGTCTTTGCAATTTTTCATTTTAATTTCTCCACAATACTGCTTTAAAGACTTACTCATTTTAATGCAATCAGGCAGCAAATTGTTGTGAGGAATCAGGTTAAATTAAGTGTATCCAAGGTGATTACTGTAATGTGTTATTTACACTACTGCATATACAAAACCCCTTATACTACAAACTTGAACATGATTGTGCCAAATATTGCACACATAATAGCAGAATGCATATCTCACACCTTAAATGAGAAGCCACCTCTGACAGATGGAAGGAAATAAATAAATTGGACTAAATAATTGGATGGTGCAGAAACCAAGTTCCTTAACCATTGTGAAACTGGTGAGTTTTAATTATACACAGTAAAAAGTGACTAAAGTAGGATTGTACTCTAAATGCAACATCAAAAAAAACCACATAACAACATAGGGACAAACCCTTATCCCTTACTTACCATATAAATAAGATATTTTGTCAATATATGTTTAAGGTATAATATTACAGACACAAGCATGTGTATAAGTCAAACATACACATAACTACACTCACTCTGCTTTCAGAACACAACAACCATGGAATCTGAGAGAGCAACATGAGAAGACTGACAGAATGCCAAAAGTGCAGACATTCAGTTGTTATAGGGAGTGTTTATTGTCCTGGAACAGGAGCCAATATTGTGCATTGAAAAACCATTGATTAAAATGTCTGAACACTGTTGGGAAGCAGGACCAGAAACTAAAACTTCCCAGCTGTTCTAGCCCATGTTCCCTAGCTGCTGAGTTGTCCAGCATTACTCTGCTGCCGGACTTCAGTGGGCCTCTGCAAAGCTCCATAAAGCTGGCACAGGAAGGATAATCCTGGTCCCAAATGAGACAGCACTAATTGGTCACAGCCTGACTTGAAAAGAGAGATTGGTTTGAGTTTAGGAGGGCACAGAACACAGACTGTTTTAGGTTCTGAGTTCTCCAGCCATGACACTCTAATGCTGGGTGATCACTGCTAGTATGTTTCTCCCTGCTTCTGCCCTCACTGTAACTTCTGTACTCTGTATTGATTTCAGATCTTTTATGTACTGGATACAGCTTTAACCACACTTCCCTGATTCACCCTTCCACAGATCTTAGGTGACATATTACCCACCACCTAGACACCAAACAAATTAGGCATAAGCCAAGTAGTATTTTTTTACTGCAATGATCAGATGCCTGTTGCCAATGCCTACGAACACAGAGTACATCCACTAGCAGACTTGGATGACTACATCTACAGGGTTTTGTGGCTTGTGCTATTGAAGGTAAAATTTATGTTTTATTTAAACCACAATTCAGGTGCTTAAATGCTTTTTTGAATATGGTCCAAAGAAACTTGTCCAAAAATTTTCTTACTCTTCATGAGTTTTGTAGTAATAAATCTCCATGAAAAAAAAA